ATTATTAATAAGTACTTAATTTTAAATCACTTCAAAACAGGTTAATTGAAACCAATGTAATGTCTATTATAATGGACATCACATTTATGCTCAACGGTATCGCATGTGGCAAATGGTTTCGACACCAATTAGACGCCAATCGGCACAAAACGTTTACACAAATTACGACACGTTTTTATTTTGACCGAATTTTGCGCATAATTCCCATCTATTATGTCTCGTTATACTTTGTAGCGATGAATGTGATCTATTTTTCCCAGGATAATTCTTATAATCGACAATTTGTTAGCTTGTGTCAAACTCAAATGCCTATTCATTTAACATTTGTGGCTAATTTATTCACTAACACTAAATTAGTAAGTTAAGCATGATTATTTATTATAAATTTTATATAATGTTATTATTATGTTATACAAGTTACTTATACTTTTATAGTGCTTCCCAGAATCATGGTCGCTTTGTGTGCTAATGCAATTTGTTTTGTTAACTCCGGTTTTAATATATCTGATGTATCGGTAATTTAATCTAGCTCATGTAAATTATGATTTAATTATTAAAGTCCATATAATTACTATACGTAGAAATCTCAAAACTGGTATTATGGCCATCATAATTACAGGTTTAATGTGCATGGTCACTACTTTATATGTTGACTACACTACTGATTATCGGTATTTAAAATTTACTATAAATGTTATCTACATGTATATATATAGTTTATTACATTTTAACCAGGATCAAATCGAGATATATAACAGCTCAAATCAAACCATTCACCCATGGTGTCCCATATTTGGCCGGCCTTTTATACGGCTATACAGCTACAGATAAGCAGCTATATAAACACATTCGCGCTTACCGTTTGTGGCCGACAATCATCGCCGGGTTGACAGCTATAATGGCGGTGATTAGCGGCGGACTAATGCCCGGAGCGTTACACTCGCCGGCGCTTATGGCCGTCCATATGGTGTATACCGGGGTTTACGCCGTAATCATATGTTTGGCGGCCATTATATACACCGACGATAACACCAATCTATACAACCGTTTCCTATCCAGCCGTTGGTGGCGACCCATACGCTCAGTACAGTTGACCTCATATTTATTGCACGACTATTTCGCACAGCATTTATTCGATGCCTTACCTATTGGTCTCAATTGACATCGGCCGTTGGACTCAATTGTCTAGTGATGGCAATCGTGTCGGCGGTGTTTGAGTTGCCGTTCGGTCGTTTGCAGCGATCGCTGTCGGCGTATGTGTTCGACGATCGCTGCACCGGACTGTCCGCCGATCGTCGGCCGACTCATAAATCTGATTAAATTTATATTTTGTAATTTAAGTATAAATTATTATCATTGCCTATCATTAAAGCATTGACTTTTAGGTGACAAAAACCAGTCTTAAAGTCACTAT